GCCAGAAATTTTGTGAAATCGACGCTTTGATAAATAAGCAAACACGCTATTTACACGACGCTAAGAAATAAGTCACCAGAAACCTTTATACTACCTTTATACGTTGATGATTTTTTAAATTTATTTTTTTCTGTTTTTTATACAGCAATTAATGTTGTTTTTGAAGTTAAACAATGGGTTTTCAATTTGTTCCAGTCCTGCTCGCAAAAAGGAGGCGCCACACTGAACTGCCAGCCTATGAATATTCTTTTGCATAGTATTGCGCGGAGCTCTCCGCAGCTCCACGCAGCTTCACGGTTACCGGGCCGGAAACCGCTGGTTTGATTTTGATTGATTGCTCACCATAAAATATATCTCTTAACTTCCAAACTTAACAATGCGATACTCCTTTCAAGAACATCCCGATTTCTGTTTTGAGTTGAACTCGGGTTTAGCTGACTATTTGAATTTAACACTAAATATGATCGAATCATTGTAAACACTTCCGTGTTAAATATTGTCAGAGACCACTTGCTGAGAAATAACAGCATGATTTATCCGAGTCACTTGACTAACCAACCTCAAATATTAAATCCATTGAACCCTTACCGTTTCTCTGTTGATACATGTTGGAAATGTTAAGTTGTTAATGTTTTGAATATTGCAATTTAACGATTGCGTATCACCAGTACTCCCACAGATCCACGCCGTTGTTCGCTATATAATATCAGTCAAAATGGCCAGAGGGAAACCATAACCACAGGGAGCACAGGAACTATAATAATCTTGTATCACTAGCCTGTGAGTATGAGTGTCTGTTGTTCTAGGCTCGATTCTACTGCAAGTAACATCTGGTATTTGACGTCAAACTACCTTCTTAGCACTGAACTACATTTATGAATTATACGTATTACGTAACAACAAAATTGTGTCAACTACTCGATTCTTTTGATTCATAATGCTTTTCGGTTATTGAACGTATTAGTGATAATCTCATTGAATCTCCATAATACGAAATGTTGAAGACTTGAAATGGGGTTTACTGTATGTTACATAATAACTTCGAACAAGAGTGTTCGTGCATATCACACACATGGATGCCTCCTACATTTATGTTTATATTGGGTGCGGTGTATGTGTGTTTGTGAGGGGTATAGGAACATTAGCATGAACATTACATGAACAAAAGGAGGGCATTTGGAAATTATAGGGAAGCATTTGTTTTTAGATAACAATCGTTATATTTTCACAGTGCTCTACTAGACATTATCCCGCAGTAATTTTTGTCAAACACTTTTCTACTGGAGTTTGACGACCCCAGAAAAAACGATTATATTAGAGCATTAGCAACAATTAATGCACATTTCTTAATCTCACTCTGTAATCCATTTATTTCCTGACGCCTTGCCACGCGATATTTCAATCTCACTTTTGTATTTTGTACTGAATATAACTTTTAGCCTAGCCATGAATGAAATTATAAAATTACATGCTAAAAAATAACGCTTTCTGCTAGTAATAAATTGGGAACACAGCTGCGTGATCAGGGAACCTGATAGATGTATCATACTGAAGTACTCAATGCTTTGAGCAATACAACAGCAATGTGTACCACACAATATATGTTGTTGCATATTAGTTGTTGGAACACATTGAAAACTGTTTCTACAATATGTGTCTCATATTGGATATTGGAAAACTATTTGACTAGTTTGAAAGAAATAGCGCTTTCAAAGACAAACTTTCAACAATTCTAAAATCAATAATATGATTGACCATACTCATGGGAGACTGGCTTCCTCTAGGTTGGTAGAATAAGAAACGAATTTGGTGCGGACAGAGATTATCAACATATTAAACCAACTTGGGAGTTATTGAAGATTTTTATTTAATATCATGATAATATTTTTATATTATATATTATTGTTTTGAAGCATTGTAACTGGGACCTAATAGCCACTAGGCTTTTAATGCAGTTATGAACGTTCCATACTACAGCTTACAGTTATTCATTGACTAGCTCAAGGAAATTAACCCAACTTACAGTGGTCACAAAGATTCATGTACAGGGTAAATACTGTGGTCACATAAGACTTATGTACAAGGGGGAAATACAGTGGTTAAATGGATTTATGTAATGGGTAAATACAGTGGTCACAATGAATTCATGTACAGGGGAAATACAGTGATCACAATTGACTTATGTACAGGGTATTAATACAGTGG